TGGGCTCCCTTGGCACAGGATTCACCCCCACTATCTGTGGCCATAATAAGATCTTCCCTGGTGTCCATCCGGGAGGCTGGTTTTTGCTGTTTCAGTTTTAAATATATCGTTCTAGTTCCCTCTAGTTACCTATAGGTGTACCTTCATGTCCAACCGCAGCGCCCCTGTAGTGATACAGGTGTTAGTAGAATGTGTAAATTTTTGTTTGTAACGGTTATTAGGTTAATCTCCCGTTCTTGTACCCCCCATGTACCCCACCTTTCACTATCTTGGACTTGATATTTATTCAGGTCCCTGATGAGTGAACGACACCTATCCTAACTGGTTCAGAGGATAGGCATTGTATTCCTTGTGTCCCCGCTGACTGGTTCCTCTGATCCCTCCCTACCTTTCCTCCCCCTTCCTTTGCATATTTCCTATCCTTCTTCCCGTCCCTGCCTTCCTCCCCTCTATCTGACCCTTTTCTGGTGTCGCCCTTCTAATGGTCCTAAAAGTGATATCCCTCAATGTCAAGGGATTAAACCAACCTATCAAGCAGTCAAAAGCCTTTAGACATTTTCAACAAATTAGAGCAGATATTGTTTGTCTTCAGGAGACACATTTTCCGCAATCATTTACCCCAGCATTCATACATGCTAACTATACACTTTTTTTTTTAGCCTCTGCACCTACGAAACATAGATGAGTCTTGATTGCATTTGGTCGTTCCACTCCCTTTGTCGCTCAGAAGGTGATCAAGGATCCGGAGGGCAGGTACCTACTTTTGGTTGGCTCAATCCATGACTCCCCGGTTACTGTGGTATCGTACTATGCCCCCAATACGGGCCAGCTGGGTTTCTTCTCACATATGCTCCAAACTATTGATTTTCATGCTAGGGGGTCACTGGTATTGTGTGGAGACTCCAATCTCTCAATACATCCTCGTGTGGATCGGCATGACCCCACCCACCCGGTGGCCCTACCCTCAGATATAACTATGGCTAGGGGATTCTGATCCCTGCTGACCCAATATCATTTGGCAGACTCCTGGAGGGAGCTCCATCCACTTACAGAGCAATTTACATTTTATTCCCACCCTCACAATGTTTTCTCTCGTATCGATCATATTTTCTTGCATAGCACGACACTCCCACAGGTCTCCTCTGCCGCTATCTGTCCTATCCCTTGGTCTGACCATGATCTGGTTCTCATTAATGTCGACCTAGCTATCCCACATAAGAAAGTATTCTCTTGGTCACTATGGGACTCCTTGCTCACCATCCCCAATGTACTGGCCTCCACCCAAACCTCCCTAACTGACTACTTTGAACTGAATGTAGCTTCTGTATTTTCTCCAATAACAGTCTGAGAGGCCCACAAACCCACCATTAGAGGGAGATTGATTCAACTAGCCTCTCAGGCGAAGAAAAAAAGGACAGCCCGTATTGACCAACTTGAATCTGATCTTCTACTGGCTTCCCAAGACTTCCAACAGAACCCAACTCCCGTTCATAGAACACGACTGTTTACTATTCGGACTGAACTGAATCTATACCTCACACATTTGACGAACGACCGAATGGCCTGGACCAAACATAACTACTACCTTAAGGGGGATAAACCAGACATTATGTTAGCTCACAGACTTAGAGATGCTAACTCCAGACGGGATCCTATTAGGCTTTGTCTTAGTGAGGGTCAGATGTCTGCCCATCCGGAAAAAATACTGAATGCTTTTCAGTCCCGCTTGAGCAAGTTATACCGCACCACAGGCCCATTGGATGAGGCCCATGTAGGAGCCTTCTTCTCCACCCTTACCCTTCCCTCCTTATCAGATGATCAGAGACAAATTATTGACGCTCCCATAGCTTTGGAGGAAGTGCTGAATGCTATTAAACTACTTCATGTCGGGAAATGTCCGGGTCCTGATGGCCTTGGTGCCATTTATTATAAGAAATTTGCTACCACTCTCGCCCCACACTTGCTTACCTACTTCAATGCCCTCCGTGATGGAGGTTGTCTGAGACAAGAGTCGTTGATGTCCTCCATCTGTATGATCCCTAAACCTGAAACTGATCACACCTCCTGGAACAACTACCGCCTAATTTCCCTAATTAATGTTGACCTAAAACTCCTCACTAAAATACTGACCCTGAGACTCTAATCCCCTCTCTTGGACCTGATCTCCAAAGATCAAGTGGGGTTAATGCTGGGACGCCAGGCAGGAGATAGCGTGCGGAGGATAGCCCATCTACTTCATATATCTCACCAGCGGAAACTCCAGACTATGTTACTGGCCCTAGATATTGGTAAGGCTTTTGACTCAGTTGGGTGGGACTACTTGCGCTATACCCTCACTAGATGGGGGTTTGGGCCCTCTTTTATGCGCTGGATAGACTGATTGTATTCTCAGCCCTCTGCTTATGTGCAATACCAGGGCTTTCACTCCCGGGTCTTTGACATCACTAGAGGAACTAGGCAGGGCTGTCCACTCTCCCCCCTTTTGTTCGTGCTAGCCATTTTCACAAGCAATACGACAACATATGGACATTAAAGGGATAGAGGTGGCTGGCTACCACCACAAACTTAGCTTGTTTGCAGATGACGCACTTCTGATCATCACTGACCCGTTGATTTCCCTCCCAAATCTACAACCCCTACTACATCGATTCGGTACTCTCTCGGGGCTCTTTGTGAATATGAATAAGTCTAAAGCGTTGAACATTTCCTTATCCCCATCCCTATGTTCCTCCCTAAAAGAATCTTTTCCCTACCTGTGGGTAGACACATCATTACCCCATCTGGGGATCCGTCTCACCCCTTCATATGATAGTTTGTATCAAGCTAACTACCCCAGATTATTTTCCCACCTGGAATCCCTGTTGTCCTCTTGGGAGAAACATCATCTATCGTGGATTGGCAGAGTTACGGTGATCCAGATGACACTGCTCCCCAAATTCCTCTACCATGCTAGTGTTCTCCCAGTCCCTATCCCCACTTTCAGACTTAGGCTATTTCAAAGGCGTATACCCCGCTTTATTTGGAAGGGATCCTTCCCGAGAGTATCTCATCAGGTTCTTTACCGCAGCAAACTAGAGGGGGGACTGGGGCTCCCATTTATCCAAAAATATTACCAGGCGGCTCAGTTGGCCCCACTGGTGTAATGTTTTGTGAAGACGGAAATGCCCCTCCTGGGTTGGAAGCCTCGCTGGAAGCCTATACATGCTCCCTAGTCAACTCCTCCCATACTTGCCTCCAGGACTTCTCTAGGGTCTCTCCCAGCCTCTGGAACTCTTTACCCCAACCTGTCCGTCTATCTGCCACCCTGACTGTCTTTAGGCGTTCCCTGAAGACTCTTCTCTTCAGGGAAGCCTATCCCACCTCAACCTAACCACTGAACCATCACATTCTCAAACAATTCATCCCCACACAGCTACCTCCTCATGTATCATTTCCCCCTCCTCTTTCAGATTGTAAGCCCTCAGGGGCAGGGCCCTCCTTACCATCCTGTCTTGAATTGTATTGTAATTGTAATGTCTTCCTTACATTGTAAAGCGCTGCACAAACTGTTGGCGCTATATAAATACTATGTAATAATAATAATAATAATGTTCCCCAGTTTCCCTCCTTAACCTCCCTTGGCTACCGACCAAAATGCGGGGGAGTGCTTCTAACCCTGTTATCAAACATACTTTGAAAGTCTGGGATGGCTTACGCCGCCCCATGGGTTGGATGTCCCCACATACTCCCCTAATGTCTATCCATGGCAATCCATTGTTCCAGCCGGGATTTTCCAACCCAGTATCTTTCAAATCGTGGCTCTCTGGATCCATGAGTCTCATTAAAGATTTCTGTTCTGAAAAGGGTATTTTGCCATTTGTGACGCTACAAGCTAAACACCACCTAACCCCTAGACATGTCTTCCAATTCCTACAAATCAAACGCTTTTTGCAGACCCACCTAGGCCCCCTACAAAATCTTCTCCCCCCCCTCACCCCATTTGAGAGACTCCTACACTATGGTACCCAAGGGTCGGGGATTATATCGACTCCATACACTCTTTTACTGAATAAAATACATGCCTCCCCACCCCCCTATACCTCCAAATGGGAGCAGGATCTGGGATGCTCCATCTCCCCTGACACTTGGGCCCAGATATGGAGGACAACCTCCAAGAGTTCAATGAATGTCCAAGCGATTGAAGCCAACTATAAATTGCTCTTTTTACTCACCGAACTGTTTCCGGGGTTGCCGGGTGGAGGGTTCGGTCCTCCACATTTGGTGGTCCTGCCCTAAGGTAAGGAGATTCTGGCATAGAGTCTATCAGTTGTTATGTACAGTGACTGGCAAGACGTTTCGTAAGGACCCATTGGAAGCTCTTTTGCATAACAAACTGATGGTGTGTACGATGCGTCAACACCGGTTGATCACATTCATTCTCACTGAGGCAAAACGGGTCATTGCGAAAGCTTGGAAATCTCCTGACCTACCTTTTGCTGAAGTCAAGCGTAGAGTATCATGTGTATCCAAAAGGATACCATGGAGCCATTTAGGAAATTGTGGGAACCATGGATTGAGTCATACCTCCCTCCCTCCTTTGGGGCGGACTCCTTGTCTATATGAAAATCTAGAGCTGGAGTGGGTGGCCGGCTATCTCTACTCCTCCACCCATATACCTTACCTCTTTCCCTCTTGCCTACCTTCCCCAACCTCCCCTTCCCCCCAGTGATTCCTTCCCTCCCCCCCTCTTCTTTTTTGGGATACCCCTCCCTTGGAACCAGGTAGCTACTCCTTGATGACCCTGTCTTGAAGTCCGTATTTACAGGTTGCTGTCCCTACCATTGGGAATTTATATCCTCTTTGGACTTCACCTGTATTGATGTTACCTTTTACCTTTTATTTTAACATTACCAAGTTACCAAAATAATCCATTCATCTGTTGTCTCATAACTTGCATAAGTTAACTGTAAAAAGTTATGCTGTTTGTACATCCTATATATTATGAACATTTATTCCCACAGATTCGTTACTGGAAGGCTGGAGATAAAGAGGCAGCTGCTGATAGGGTGAGATCACCCAGTCTGGATACTTCTGCAAAAATTAGTGGACTAAAGCCAAACACTATGTATCATGTTACTATTCGTGCTTACAACAGAGCTGGCACTGGACCACCTAGCCCAAGCACTAATGTCACTTCCAGCAAAGCACGTAAGTGTATCATAAGAAGGGATCTTGATCAGAACAGCTACTGTAGAAGTAGTTAGGCACATTTAACAAGACTTGTTCTGAAATCTTAAACATGGTTCACCACTCATCCAGGTGGCTTTTTCAGTCCAAATGAGTATTGGGAACATTCTCCAGCATTTATAGCCACATGGGTAAATAACCTTAATCCATTCACCATGATGTCATGAAATGTGTCCAAGAACACGATGGAAGGAGTGAACTGGGGTAAAGATGTTAAAATTGTGGATGACATATGAAGTTGGAGACCCCCTGTTTAGGGATAGTTGTCCAAGTCTGAGGTCAATGGCCCCTTTCATACTTCTTATAAAACCAGTTGTCCTCTCTGTCTAAAATGTGCTCCTCAATGTCCTTGAAAGAATTCAACATTTCATACCATCAACTATATTACGCAAACCATTGTCACCTGTCCCAAAGTTCATGTTCTTGGACAATCAACATCTGCTTTGACAAATCTTATGACACCATTGTGATTGGATTAGTAACATTTGTGGCTACAAATGCCGGGGCACTCATTTTAAAGTGGGCCTGAAAGTGAAGAATTGCTATGTTATAGAAAACTATCTTGAATACAGTCTTGAATCCCTGCTGAAAATAGCAGTGCACTTCCTGCTATGTGAGTGTGCTTAGGCATTCTTGTGCCTACATCTTCATATTTGTATATTTGCTGTGTGAAAGCTCAGCCTCTGCTGCCTCTCACTTCTAGTCTCACAAAATTTGGAGTGAGATTTGGTAAAGTCACTCACTGCTTGCTGTTCTCCTTGCTGGAGCTCTAACAGCAAAGAAATCAAAGAGGCTCTTACATCTTAGAAAGCAAAGTCCTGCATCCACCATGATGGCCGCCTTCACAGTGCAGAACAAGGCATGGTGAGTCAGTAATGGGGTAAATATTAGCCGCAAGGATGCCACAGGAAATTCTGGTGACTTGTCCTTTGCCCTATGCCTGTCTTTTTGGAATAGCTTGCAAATTACATTTCCTTTTTAGACGAAGAATCCACTTGGATGAGTTTTGAAACTGCTTCAACATTATAGAACAAGTCCAACTGAATTAGACTATTACTACAAGTTATACTATGAACTGGAGACATGAAAGCCTTCACAGACATCTTGTGTAGAATGTAGAGCCAAAGGAAATCTCACTGCTCCGATTCTTTAGCTGCCATCAGGACTCCTCAGGTGCTGGACTAATAAGTGCAGCTCCACCTTGGAATGTAGTAGTATACGAACAGACCGCACTACGCAGAGAATTCCAATACTTTAGACTTTATTGAAATTCACAGCAAATCCAGTATAACAGTGAATAAAAGTGTATAAAGCAGCAAATTACCAGCACCTCACACCCCCAACCAGCTACAACCTCTCACATGTTTCACTCGTAGGCTTATTCATAGAAATAACAAATACAGACCAGTATCTCACTTAAATGTGTTCAAAAATATCCAGCCTACACAGATGCAGGAAGCAATGCTCACTGATGGATAGGTTACCTCTAAACTGGCTGGTGTATAAGGGTCAGTAGAGCACAAAGAAACTACCAATCCTACCATACATATTATAATCTCCATATCAACAATACCAAATAAAGTCAGATGTTTTAACAATCTCACCAAACCACAATCTCCCTGTCAACTGTTCAGGGTGTGAAACAGTGCACAAAAGAGAAATATATCAAATAAAATGTCAAACTCTCTTGAGAATACATATAAATGTACACGTTTATGAACAAATAAATAAATACATAATTAAATAAACTATAACAAATGAGTGGCTCCTCTCATCTGAATAGACCAAAATATCAGTACTATAGAACACATACTGTAGCTTAGTCGCCATGAACATATACGGTATATATACATATTTTACAACCATATCTACAGCCCGATGTGTCAAACAGGAGAAGGATGCCTCATTAGTTAAAGGTAAAACTAAAATTAACATTATAACACATGTAAATTAATGTATGTAAAAATTAATTAATTCATGTATGAAAAAAAACTGCATCCACAGTTATAAAAAAGTGTAAGTGGACGTTAAAGGAGAACTATGGGGTTAAGGCTTTTTCCCATAGTTCTCACCCATACATGAAATATCCAAAGTAAAGAGCATTCTCAAGCTACAATGTCAAATAAAAGACAATAAATATCCTACATGAAATATTCTAAATAAAGTATTGATCATTAGCATAGTCTCCTAGAAATATTATCCATCCATTAAGTAACCGATGATTACTAAAAATCTTTCTTATCATCATAAATATCTTAGAAATAGAAAAAACGTAAATAATAAATATCATATAATATATGTTCTAAGAATAGATATTATCTGGAAACTACACTACTAAGGCTAGTTAGGCGAACAGAGAAACCTTCAAAAAGTAGCTGAATGGTCCTAGGTTTTTTTAAAATACTATATTACTCTAAGAACCATCGAGAAAAAGATCTTTTATCACAGGTGTCCCAGGCGATTGCCCAGAACATTCTTCTCAATATTTCAGAGAATGCCAAAAGCACACATCAAGTAATAAATAAAGACCAAAATCCATCAAAAGTCATAACTGTTCAGATCACTCATAATAATACTATCACTCAAAGTTTAAACCTTTAGGGATGCGAGTGTCTAGCTTGAAAATCCAAAAAACTACCCTTTTTGACGAAAGGGAAGCTCGATCCCCTCCTCTTAAAGGTGCATCAACTCTTTCTATAATCTGTACATTCATAATTGTAATATTACTATTATGATGGTCGTCTTGTGGTCTTACCTATATACTGTTTGTAACAGATGGTACAAGATAATATATATTTGTGTTCGGAGTCCCGTGCATACCGACCCGCGACCTCAATACGCCCGCTATGAACCCGAATGACACCCACTTCATCAACCCAATACAACCTGATTTCTTTAGGTCAGTATGCCAAATAAGGGGGCATATTAATGCAATGATTGTTAGAAGAAAGGGGAAGGGAGGGAGGGTATGCCGGAAGCTTGCTGCGGTGCGTCCTCCCCTCCGCCCTGAAATAGCCTCGAGCCACTCTGACTCCTCCCACAAATTCGGCAAATGTCATTAGCCTCCAACTTGTGTTCGGAGTTCCGTGTATACCGACCCGCAACCTCGATATGCCCACTATGAACCCGAATGATACCCACTTCATCAACCCAATACAACCTGAGGTGTGTCATGATTTTTTAGGTCAGTATGCCAAATAAGGGGGCAAAAACAAACATGTAGAATATTGGTTTATTTATCTTAACCTGACTAATTAGCTAGTTTTGAAAACGCTAGTGCCATTTCCATGTTCGGGTTGGGGATGTACGTATTAAAGCAGGATGACTTCCATCTCCCCAGATGTTTGATCACGTGGGCCGGTACCTGCTGCCTTGATGCGGCCGGCACCGCCCCCATCCTAAACGAGTGCCCTGAAAATGTTTTGGGGTTAAACCCTAATTGTGAGAAGAGAGCCCGGACGTGGCCCGTGAATTTGTGATAAGGGGTTATGCGGGAAAGGCAATAAGGGGCTATCTTCCGGAAGCTGGGACAGTTTACACATCAATTGATCCAAAACCTTTATCGGGCACCAGGGATTGCTGGAAGGGAAATACTTTACCTCCGTAGGAATACGGGTTTGCTTAGTTTTGCAGCGAGGCAGCGACAAGATGTAATGACATGGGTGTCTAACTAGATGCTTTTTTAACAGAACCTGTGACTGGATATCGACCTGAGTAAACTCTCCTGGCCTCAGAAACCCGTAAAATGCCAGATAAATGGCCGCTTTTAAAACAATGCTTGGCATTGGCATTCCCTATCCAGTGTGACCGACAGAGCGCGAAACATGTCGCCTGAAAGCGGTACTCTGGCCGGCACGGCCGTGATGTGGCACTTTTGGATGCCCCTTAATATGGCTCTAACTGGGTGAGCGGAAAACAATGAGGGTCTGTCTGGAAATTCTAAGGCTAAAAAATGTTGAATCCCCGCCAAGTACAATCTAATGGTCGTGTAAGCGAGTTTCAATAAGAGATAATCCAAAATGAATAAAATACTACCGGGATCTGGGGTAAAGTGTGAACCTTGAAATTTTCAGAAAAGCTGCCAAGCTACAGTATAAGCGTTACGCGTATTATGTGAGAGTGAATGATTGATGAGGCCAGCCGCGTTGCGCTGGTGTCTACTCAGTACAAGCGAAGTTGGTGAAAGTGCAGTACTGTTGTGGCATTGACGTCCGCGTCTGGCATCTGTTGGAAGAAAAGTTGAATATTTAAACGAGATAAAGTGCCAGCGTGCACCGGTAGTGAAAGAACACGTGATATTAAATTTATACTGTAAGGACACCCACGTTAACCGCTGCAGAAACGACATTATTAACAAGGACTTGGACCTCCCCTTATTGATGATATCAGCAGTGGCCTGATTATCAGTGAAGAAAGTCACGGTGTGCCCAGTCCATGACGGGCCCCAATTTACCGCTGCTGCCACAATCAGATACATTTCGAATAAAGCAGAGGTTTCGAAGAACGCAGGAATGGCCCTTACCTCCATCGGCCAGGTGCTGGCAAACCAGTGTGTGCCACGTATAGCCTCAAAACCGGTAGATGCTGCAGCGTCAGATATTACCTGAGGAAATTATGCTGATGGTAGCGGAATGAACATCGAAATGCCATTACAATGCCGTAGGAACTCGTCCCACATCACCAAGTCGGCACGACCCGCGGCGTCAATATGAATCTGAGCGTCCTCATTATGCGCTGTAGGTAGCAAAGCCAACAACCTGGAGATAAAACACCTACCCTGCGCAATGACGCTCGTTGCGAAATTCAACATGCCTAACACAAACTGCAATTCCCTTCTGGTACACCTGGCGGATACGACCAGAGCGTGTAAAGAGTTCCTGATCCTGCTAAGCTTATCCTATGGTAAGCTGGCCTGCATGGTTACTGTGTCCAGAGTGATACCTAAAAAGGTAATGACGTTG